CTCCCTCCTCAGGTTCCCCCGCCCGGGCCCCACGGGGGCCAGCGGATCCGGGAGGCTCATCCGCCCGCATCTCCCGCCCCGCGGAGCGAGGCTGCTCCCGGACACGTGGCCGCGAGCCAGGGCTTTCCGTGAGGCCCCGAAACGCCCCCTTATCCAGCTGGTATTTTGCTTAATGTTTGCTCTCCCTCTCCCCCATTGCCATAGTAACCCGGAGCAGGGAGCACAAAGCGCCCTGTGTGCCCGGAGCGCTGACTCACGCGGCGCCAGCGGGGTCTGCACAGCCCTCGATCTGGCATTGCCACCGCGGCCCTTCCTCATCCCGAGCCGCCGGAGCTGCGGGAGCTCCATCCACGCTTGGATTTGCAAGCGCCGGTCAGCGGGAACGGGGACATTCCCAGCTACAAAGCGCTTGCGCCGCGCGGACGAGCTGTTTTGCTCCTCCGTGCAGCAGCGATCCTCTAAAAACCAGAACTATTCCCCCAGCTCGGCCCCAGTGCGTTTACACAGCACCCCAGCAAAGGCCCCGTGCCATCAGCCAGCTCCCCATCGCCCAAATCACTGCCGTCCACCCCGTGCTACCGCGCTGAGGTCAGCGGCCATCCCCGTTCCACCCTCCGCCACCTCCATCACACATTTCCTGGCTCCCATCTGGAAAAGCCCTGATAAAACCAGCAAAACCAGAACTGCTCTGCCCTCCGCTCCAAGGCTCCAGCTGGACCACTCGTGCTTATGGAAAACCCAGCTCATCCCGTGCTTGCAGAAGAGCAAATCACACGTTTCCCCCTGCCAAGGATGCTGCCCCCATGGGAAAAGCAGGAAATCTCCTTGCTGGCTCCTGCTCTTCCCAAACTTGCCATGGCCACAGCTCCGCGAGGTTTCCAGCATCCTGCTTGGCCGACCCGAATTTCCTGCCACACTCCCAAGCTCTCAGGAAGCAACTGCAGCCCTTGGCGGCTGCTTGCAGCCAGAGAGGCGGAGGTGGAGCAGGCGGGCGCCACTTCCTCTCCAACACAACCCGGAAAAAAGGAGACCAGCGGTCCTGCCCCAAAGCTCCGCACACTCCCTGCGGCCCGCTCCGGGCGGGAATATCCATGGCACGAGCTCGGGGCACAGCGCGGCTTCCCTTGCTGCTGCCCAGCCCAGTTATCGCCCCCGCTGCAAGGCTCCCCGGCACCGCTGCGCGTTATCTTGCGAGCGCAAGAGC